ACGGCGCTGGCACGGCTCCGATACCGAGGTTTTCCCGGAGCGCTAGCGCGGAGGGTGCTCGGGAGCGCCGGAGGAGCCGCTGGGGATCGCTGTCCTGCCCGGTGCTGACCCCAGGCCTAGCTGCTCTGGCGTTTCTCTTTCCCGAGTCCTGCAGTAGGAAGGAGCAGGGCCTGGTGAGGTCGGGTGCGGGCGGCGTACTGGTGTGGCAGGCAGCGCTGGCTTCCTTGGGGACTTGGAGTCGTGAAAGATGGCTTGCCCTGGCTACGTTGCCCGTATTGTGCCGTTTCTGGACCTCTGCGCCTCTTGTTGAGTTAATGTACTGCATTGTACTTGATTAAACGTTAAAACACTTCTGCTGTCCAAAATCACAGTTAAGGAAAGGTGAACGTTCTGCCTGTGGGGTGTGTTTTATTTTTTCTTTCTAAAGTCAAGTTGTGGCTTTTTTTTGAGGTTGAAGTGTTGACTTTGGCAGCTGTTTGAAAAAGGAGGCTCTGGAATGATATTTAAGTAACTGGAGAGGAGAGCAGAAGGTTAACAACAGAATAATATGCTGACCTTGAAATTGAATTAACCTGTAGTGAGTGGTGTGGAACTTAAATAAGTGGTATGAAAAGCGTGATGGTTTTGCTTTATGTAGAACATTATGTTTGTAGCTTAAGTAAAAGTTATGGAGCCTAAAAGTGGTGGTGTTGTCTCTGACAATGAACTGTTAGCATTGTTTCAAGTCTTAAAGCAATCTAATGTTCAAACTTAATGAAGCAGAGGTCAAATTGTTGTACGTAACAAACGTGCATTTTGCCTGTTTGGTGTTGGTGAAGGGATACTGAAGAGCGGAGGGGCCAAGTCGTATATATTCAGATGCAAACTTGATGTAGTGTTGCGTTGCTGCATGTGAAGGAGGCCAACAAATATTTGTGTATTGTCACACTAGTGTGCAAATGTTGAATTTTATCTTGTGCTGCAACTGATGATGGTCACATTCAGTTGCAGGAGGTGGTCGCCTGTTAGACAGAATTCGCAAGTGGTATTATAATGCAGCTGGATTCAACAAACTTGGTAAGTGTTTCAGTTTTTAAAACTGCAAATGTAACAATCCTTAAACTAGTTATGGTGTATGTACCTGCAGTTTGGCATAAATATTTTAGATCAAAATTAGCTACTACTTTTGTGGGGAAAAAGTTAGAAATAGCTTCAGTCATCATGATTGCTACCTAGTAATGAATCAGTGACTCTTCTGTTATTTCTGTGTTTGCTCTTCTTTTCAGTGAAATAACTTGCAACAGCTAAGGTTAAGCTGGAGCAGTTGAAAAAACTTTCACAGAGCAGTCCTGTGAGCTTGATTATTTATCTTTTCCCACCAAGTCACTTTCGCTGACCAGTATCTTCTAACCCAAAGGCTGCCCTTGAAGCTGGAGAGGTTCCCACTGATAGCAGTCAGTCTGTCTGCAATACTTCAGCAAAGTGTCCCAAGTGCGAAAAAGGATTTAGTTAATTCTGCCCTTTCTATCGCCATTACTTCACTTGATGTCTCGCTGGCCTGCGCAGTGGTGAAGTAGGTGTAGAAACAGCATTTCCTGAAGTAGAGGAGGCTGCCTTGACAGTAATGTCTTCAATTTGTTGAGTTGTTACCAAGCTTGTTTTAACTGTTTAGATGACGAGAATCTGAAAGTTCAGAGACTGTAATTTACTGCTGCCTGCAATATGAGTGACTCATTTAAAGGAATTTAACTACTTGCCTTCGGGATGTTAGCAAAAAAAATGCAAGACAACAGTAGAGAAACAAGCTTAGGTCTTTCATCCAGAGGTGCAGTGTTTGGCCTCTCTTTCTGTATCCGTCTGCTGAAATTCTTAAAGGTGTTAATACTTTTTGCTGATTCACTGGGAATGCAACTGAAAACTGAGGAGAAACACTGAATTTAACCTAGTGGTTAAACTAGCAGCCATGCTGCCTGTGCCTCTGAAATAAATTATACAAAAATGAATTCAAGAATATGTGGCTCAAAAGAAATACCTGTTTTATCGGGAGTCTGCTGCCAGCTCGGTCACATGAGATCAAAACCACAAGTCAGTAGGTATACTCTTGTAATCTGCATCAATCTTCTCCTGTGTTGTTAATACTGAAACTTAAAGCATTGTTGGTTGAATTTCGAGAATCCTTTGTTTCACAAAGACTGTGGGGGTGTTCTTGGCTTTGGGAAGACTAGGTGCTTCTCCCTGACTTAACTTCGGATTTGGAGTGGGGTGGGAGGGAATCAGCCTGGGTACAAACACCTAGCTTCAGGTTTCCATAGCTTAGTAGAGACGACAGAGATCTGGTCATTATGCACAGCAGAGTTTAGAGAATAATTCTTCAGTACTGAAGTAGTCATGTCTTTGGTTAACTGACTTGAATAGATTCAGAGCTCTTAAACCTTTTACCTAGGCAGTCATCTTAAATATAAGTATAAAATTAGATGAGCATAAGTCTACCCTTCAGATCCAGAAGAGTTATTGTTATGTATATGTATAATCTTATGAGACACATTTAATCAAATCCCCGTTTTCCCTATTCCTCTAAGAAAAGGAGTAAAAACAAGTAAATGGAGTGTGTGAAAACCAGTGTTTAGAGTTTGTTCTCGGTAAGCAATTAGTGATTCTGTACTCCTAGGTTGATTTGGGTTGTCTTCATAATTTTGCACTGAAAATGTTTTGCCCGTGTTATGTAGAAACACCTGTGTCAATCCTAAATCTTACTTAAGAACACTTACTTGGTGATACTGTAAAATCTTCTTGGTACAGGATTAATGCGAGATGATACATTGTATGAAGATGATGATGTAAAAGAAGCACTGAAGAGACTTCCAGAACATCTTTACAATGAGCGAATATTTCGCATAAAGCGAGCACTCGACCTAAGCCTGAAACATCAGATCCTTCCAAAAGACCAGTGGGTGAAGTATGAAGAGGTGCGTGTACACAGTGTTTCGAAGGTGGAAGTCTTAAATGGCACTGCTGTGACTGGTCTTTGGGATTTTCTGTCTCTGAAGAGATACAGGCTTACATGTTCTTCATAATGAGTAAATGAGCATGCATCTTGTAGGATGCCTTCGGAAAACGTAGCTTTTGATGGCTGTTTAAAAATCTCTGTTCCTCAGTGGAAATTACAGCATTTTGCTCAAGATGTCAAAGGCTTAAACTACAGCTCAGAGCCATAGCACATTGTTTGTATTCAGACAAAGTATTTCTTCTAAGCTCTCAGATAAAGAAATACACAGTAGCTAGCTTGGCAATGCTTACAAAAGGTCTCTTGCTTTTCTGATTAATTTCTTAATTTTATAGAAAAATCTGAAGCCAATGCTTTTATTCATGAAGATGCCAAGCAATAATAATTTAAAGGGAAATTTCGCATTAAAATTAATGCCATCTTGTAAGGGAAAAACAAACCACACCTTGCGTTTCAGATGTAACGAAATCTTTTTTTATAGTGGATTGATTCACAGACTTTGCATTACTGTCCGTCTCTGCTTTCTCCAAATTACCAGGCAGAGAGGAATCTTATCACTAAACCTTTGACTATAGAATAGTATAAGGGTATTATGTTTCTCTGTGTAAGCAGAGGCTGTTTTCTTGTGGTGTAACTGGTCATATTTAGGTAACTGCTGCCTTGAATATCTGGTTGCGTAGTTCCTTAAGCAGCAGTTTGATTTGCAAATGTTAAACATGGTCAAGGTGTTCCATCAAATCCAGGCTTATAGTGCTGTTCAGAAGTTAACCTCAAAGTGAGTTTCTCCATAGCAGTATAGTTGGACTTTGAACTAATCAAAGTGTATCTTGTACATTTGGGTATCTGTCAGAAGAACATTGTTTCTAAAGGTATAGCTGGAAGCATCATTTTGCTTGTTAATTGGCGAGGCATTAAGAATTAGTGGTTGCTGCAGTGAAGAACTTGTCATTGCAGACTTGGCAGATACAAAGTTTACCTTTTCGGACTAAGTAATATTTGATTTCTTTTTTTCTTGTTAGGTTGGGTGTTAGTCAAATCTGAGGAGGAATGAGAGACAAGTAATCTGTAGGAATGGCTTGAAATATTTCTGGACCCCCCTGTAAGTTTAAATATATTATCTTCTTTTTCAGGATAAGCATTATCTTGAACCGTACCTAAAAGAAGTAATCCGTGAAAGACTTGAAAGAGAAGCATGGAACAAGAAATAACTATTGAACTACTTCATGCAAATATCCGCATATTTCTATTTTTAAACATTTGGTTGTAGAAGTCTACAGGGAGGCAAATGTGAGGCTGAAGAGTACTGTGCATTGAATCTGTTCATCCAACTAAAATAAACATGTCAAGGTATAAAATCTCCTTGGAAGAGTTCTTCATAAATGTTAACACGCGAATGTTCAGATCTTTCCTATGAGCATATACATTACATACGAGCTCAGTGGTATGCAGTCTTCATTCCAGCTTTTTGATTCTTACTCTTTTCATAGTACAGCTGTTTTCTGCAGTTGTAGGGTTAGGTAAGAAACACGCAAGGCTATTGGTGCTAGTTGCTCTGTTACATTAAAAAAGGGAGTGCTTATTTCCTTCATGATTTCTGGCTGGGGACAATGATACTGGAGTAGTGCTTGATGTTACAATGGCATCATGAGACAGCAGGATGTAAGATTCTGCGCATCTAAGCACATATGTATTACAATAGTGGAAAATATAGGTGACTCCTTAATCACAAAAAAGGAAATGTTTCACTAGCTTTTTATACCATATGCATTGTTAATCCTTAAAAGACTATTTTCATATAAACGATGACTGCCTCACTTCAGCTTCTTGAGGCTTTTTATCCTTTTAAAGGGTAAAAGCGGTGTGCTGATGTGCTTCCAACAGCGTCATTAACTTCCCATATATTTTTTTTCATGGCTTAAAGCATGATGTTGGTTACAGTGGTTGGCATCAAGTATTTTATACTCTCGGGCTTAATGACAATAGAGATACATGTGCAATTCAGGCTCTGCTTAAAAACAGAAGGCTTTCAGCTGTACTGAGAAAATACCAGCCATTGCTTCCTCACCTGAACATGAGGAAGAACTTCTTCCCTCTGAGGGTGACAGAGCCCTGAAACAGGCTGCCCAGGGAGGTTGTGGAGTCTCCTTCTCTGGAGATATTCAAGACCCGCCTGGACAAGGTCCTGTGCAGCCTGCTGTAGGTGACCCTGCTTCCGCAGGGGGGTTGGGCCAGATGACCCACAGAGGTCCCTTCCAACCCCTAACATTCTGTGATTCTGCTACTGCTCCAGGGGAGACTGCCATTAGCTGGCGGCTGCTCAATGGTAAGGCCTGGCACCTACCAGGTACGTGCAAGTGCAGAGCAAATGAGGAGTTAGCAGAGGGAATGCTGAGCTTGGGAGGTGTTTGCGAGTGAAATGAGAGCCTGAACAGTGGAGACAGGGATGGCAGGGAAGATCAGGTGGAACAAGCCAGGCTTGGCAGAAACAACCTCCATTTGGGAAGTCCCGAGTGCTTTAAGTGGGGTTTTTGCAATGTCGCTGGTTTTTACAAGAAATATTGTGCTATGCTGGGCCTTCCATCAGCCCTGGCTCTGCACCCTGATGTGGTGGCTGTGTCACAGCGGGTGGAACGCTGGGGTGTCCATGTCACAGGGGGTTGGTGGCACAGCCACCCAGGATGCCCACAGAAATGGCTGCGCGGGCAGCCGG